CTGGGTTCTAGAGCTGAGTATGGCCTGATAGTGAAGCTGTTGATTACTGCTGCTTTCCCTCATTGCTGTACCCAGTAGCTGATTCCACCCTTGTATTTTATACCCTTGATTGGTTTTTTTTGCTGTTATTTTTCCTGCTTATAGGTATGTAAACCCCCACATATTCTATGCTATTTTGACTTAATGCAATGAAAAGATGATCTTACTTAAGTTATACTTGTGTTTTATTACTAAATGTAAGCATGTTTAGTTTCTGGTTCGGTTATGCTATTCTTCAGTGAAGTTTGTAGTAGTTTGAATGGTAGAAAGAGCTTGATTTAAGTTAGTAATATGAACTTGTAAGCATGACTTAATTTCTGGGGTTTTGAATGGTTGTTGGCTCTTGTTGTTTGTCACTGTAAATTTGTGAATCGGCTCTTTGAAATAGCATTGAAAAAAGTTATTGGCATGTCTTTCCTCTGAGTTTTCCTTGTGTTGAAATCATGCAAGTTATAGTCACTTGAATCCTAACTATTGTTTCATTTGTTTTCAATTGTGATAAGTTTGATGCAGATTTGCAAGCTAGCTCTGTAGCTATCCTTGCAAATGCAAATACTTTTTTTCTTTGAATTACAAAATCACATGTGCTGGAGCAAATTGCCTTGAAGATTAGAATGTTTTATGAAGCCTCACTCATAATTAGGATTGCTGAGGTATTATTAGGGCTGTGTAAATTTATTATCCATTTTGTATAACTTGATTTAATTACTCTTGGGTATGATTAGTCAGTATTTAATGTCCAGGATTTATGTAATTGTTATCAAGTATATTCAATAGGGTCGATCGGCTATAATAGCAAATTGGGCCAAGTGTGGGCCTAAATGGGTGGCCTGGTCAGGAACACCTCTAGTGTGGTTCTGGACCCTTTCCTTGTGTGCTGGGCTCAATTTTAGGGCCCAAACAGTGCTAGCATTTTTTTTTCTTTAAATGATTGTGATCAAATGGTTTATTGAGCCTTCTGCGGGCCAAGTTCACCCTAGAATAATCAGAATCGCCATGCCTACCTAATTTGCTTCAGCAATTTCATCTATTAAACTTTCTGCTTAGTGTAATAAAAATGACTTCTAGTACTGAAGGTATAGTTGTACAAAACTGGGCCTGGTATTTGCCCCACTCGAAACTGTGTGGCCGTTTGCCTTTGTCCTCGCTCCTGGGCTCGATTTTGAGCCCAGTTTTCTTATTTCCTTTTTTTTTTTTAAATCTTTAGATAATATTGGGCTTAATGTTGGCCCAGATTTCTCTTAAATAATTAAAGGCTCAGCATATTATTTTTATTTACTTACAGTTAGTAGTTTTAGATTGAACTTTAACTTAGTTTAAAACATGAATATATGTAGCTTGCTTTAGGCACGTTTAATATACCATCGTGGTTGTGTACACGTTCGCGTGACATAATCATGATCTTATAAACAAAATCGGGTTATGTGTTTGCGCAACTTCGACTAAACTTTATTAATAATAATGAAGCGTTATTAATTGTGGACACGTACGCGTGACATGATTTTTGACGCGCCAAACAAATGGGTACACGTACGCGTGACTTGTTTTAAGATAATTTCTAAATTAAAAGAGGTAAATGCACATAGATTCTAAAGTAAGTAATTAGACAATTTAATTAAGCCAAGTATGATTAAAGCGACTGTGCTAAAACTACGGAACCCAAGAATGCCTAACACCTTCTCCCGGGTTAACAGAATTCCTTACCCGAATTTCTATGTTTTGCAGACTGTATAATAGAGTAAAACTTCCTCGACTCGAGATTTTAAACCGGTGACTTGGGACACCATAAATTATCCCAAGTGGCGACTCTGAATTTAATATAAATAATCCCATTTCGATTGTCACTTAAATTGGAAAAACTCCCTTATACCCCTTTTCGGGTAGAAAAAGGAGGTGTGACAGTGGAAAAATATCTATGGGCAATCACCAAGAAAAAAGATTGTCTATGGATTAGATGGATCCATTCTTACTACATAAAGAACAAGATCATTGATACCAAGCACATACCCAAGAATGCAGCTTGGGTAGTGAGGAAAGCTATTGAGCTTAGGAAGTTTATATTGGAATTACCTACCTTGCAAGGAGACCCACTTTTAAGACTGACAGCGCTACAGAGCACAGATGGGAGATTCAGTATGAAGAAGTTATACAAGATGCAGACTCCTCAGGGCCAGAAGGTGTACTGGAAGTGTCTGACTTTGCAACCTCATATACACCCTCGACATAAGTTCAATTTATGGTTGGCCATCCAAGGGAGATTATCTACTGTTGAAAGACTACAGAAGATGGGTATCCAAGTTCATTCATCTTGTGTTTTCTGTGGACTGGCAGATGAACATTTTGAACACCTCTTCTTCGACTGCTCATACACGAAGACTATATGGCAAAGACTATTAAATTGGCTGGGGTATCCGAGGCAGATAAGAACATGGACAGAGGAACTACAATGGGTGACTACCTATGCTAGGCAGAAGAAGGGAATAGGAACTATTATTGCAGTTGTTTTTGGAATGCTTATATATCTCTTATGGAGAGATAGGAACATGATCAGATTTCAAAATGGACGATCTTCATCAGAGGGTATATGTCAATAAATTGCAAGCTATATTCATATAAAGGGCAATACTCATTTCAGCTGGCAGAAGCTAAGAGTCAAAACACAAGCCAAAGAGTCAAAAATTAAGCATGAATCAAAAACCTTAAAGCAACCTTGAGAAGGTGTGAACTCGCAAGAAGGACAAGATACGCTCCAAGTTCCTACGAGTTTTTAGTAAGGCCAAAAATTAGTCACCGGATAACAAACTCGATTTTCTATTAGTTACGGGATAATAAATGCGATTTTGTATCTGAAAAGCTACAAAGAAAGAAGTTGTGAAAGTAATGTACGAATAATAGAGAAAATCATATACGAAATTTATTTGAAAGTTCAAAGCCTGAAACTTCTTCAAATTGTTTCCTTTGCTATTTCATCTTTCATATATTTACACCAAAATGAAGATGAGATGTCTTCTTCATCAGTGTCGCTTATATAAAAGGGCCCTCTTTTATACAAGTTTGTGTTTATCAAAATCACAGAATTTCTAAATACAATTTCAAATATCAAAGAACAAAATAAAGGCTCAGATATCAAAATAAAAGGTGAAAGTAACCGAAGCTGACATATTAAACTTTGGAAAAAACAGAGGTACTTGTTTGTCATGAAACCCCAAAACAAGATAGGGGTAAACCAAAAAACAACCTTGCAAAAAAGAAAATAAACTTCCCAAAAGTTGAACAAACATGAAAGCAAGAAAAAACTAAGGGGCATCATCTGCGGGAGCATCATTAACGTGATATGCGTCACATCGGTTCTGAAGGAGACATGATTGTATTCGAAAAACGGCGGCAGAGAATTCCCGCCATAAAAACTTTCCACTTCCCGAATATTCGGTAGAGAATATTCAAAAAGTGGGGAGACTATTTGTATTAGTGGTAAAACGGTGTTACACATGGAATATTGGAATGTTGACATAGAATGACACGTGGAACAGTGATATAGCAACAAGTGGCATCCTCAATTAAAAGAATTAATTGGGAGAAGAAGGCACGGGGAGAAACACCCACGAGGCAGTACAGAGAAGAGAACCGAGCCTAACAGTTGACAAAGAAGAGATGAGGATGGAATGAATAAAGAACAAAAGAAAGGAAAGATACATGAACCAGAAGTAAATAAGGAAGGAGAATCGGAATAGTTATATGATATTTATAGCTATAAATACGACAGTTATAGATATCCGAGATAATGGGCAATCAATATCATTAATGCCCATAATAAACCCAAATTACGTGGGAAAACTGTTACAATTGTACATTCCTATATAAGGACACAAATTTTTATTTGTAAAGACAGGTCTCAAGTACTATTGAAATATACTTTTTACTTTACTGCTTTCTCGAAATTCTCTGTCTTGGTTTTACAATTTGACCATCAATTAGTTCATTTGCCATACTAATCATTTTCTTTAAATATCATTGTGAAAGTAAAGTAAAACTTGGTTATCAGTAACCCGTTTTCTTCTAAATTTAGACTTTGATCAAGGAACATATTTTTTATGGTTAAACAATATACACTAAGATACTAATTCTATTATTATATGCATATAGTACTAATTATTTATTATTTTATTTAAATTTAATATTTTTATTTTAAAATAAATACGATGTTCTCATATTCATTTTCTACAAAAATAAATGATATTAATTATCCACAATTTAAATTAAGATAAAATAACTTAATAATAAGATCACATGTATTCATATTTAAATATTTTAATCTTAATAAATAAATAAATGGGGTCTTATTCTCCCGCTTAGGTATTACTGTCCTAATTAATTATATGTTTTTTTTGGAGAAATTATAAGGTTCTTTTGGTCAGTCGGTGACTGAAATTTGATGCTGTTAAGATTATACTGTAAATATAATTAACACTGTACTTCCTTTTCCCTTTCCAGTAGTTAGTTATAGTTAGTTAGTATTGTTCATTACGGTTGTTAGTTAGAAGGTAGTTGAAGGTCGGCTAGTTGGTTACTTAGTTGATTAGATGTTGATTAGCTGTCATTAGCTAGATTGTTTGTATATATACTCTCATCTAGTGCATAATGAAACAGATTTCTCTCTTCACTCATCTGAGAATTCTTTCTTCCTCTCAAGGTTCGATCATCTGGAAGCCTGTAGTTGCTTCCGCCATTGTAGGTTGTGAAGCTCATTGAGCTTGTGTATCTTCAAACTTGATATGGTATCAGAGCGAGTGCTCTTTTGAGAAGACGATCCACTGAAATCATAGATCGCAGTTCATCAATTTCTTCACGATCGAAGCTAGGGCTCTCATTTGAACTCATTCAATCGAGAATCTCTGTATCCTCATTTTCTCAGTCAATCAACCTTCTCTATCATTCAATCCTGATCTCGCACTAAAGCAGTCATGGAGGTAGGTGATGCAGGTGCTACGAATACGGTAACATCGGAAATTCAATCGACGATCGATGTGAGTAGTCCACTCTATATTCATCCCTCTGATAGCCCTGGGCTAGTTTTGGTCCCAGTGCCTTTTGATGGTTTAGGATATCGATCATGGAGGAGAGGTGTATTGAGATCCCTCTCTATTAAAAACAAATTAGGCTTTATCACTGGAGAATGTGTAAAACCTAATTCAAATTCAGCAAGTTTTAGGCAGTGGGAGAGGTGCGATGATATGGTAACCTCATGGATTTTAAATTCACTTGCAAAAGAAATTGCAGACAGTGTGGAATATGTGAACACTTCAGTTGAGCTATGGAGAGAGCTTGAAGATCGTTATGATCAAACAAATGGAGCAAAGTTATACCAAATCCAAAAAGAGATTAATGACTTGAGTCAGGGAGTACTCGACATAACTGGATATTACACTAAAATGAAGAAGTTGTGGGAAGAATTGACAAATCTGAGTGCTAAATCAGTGTGCAATTGTCAGTGCACTTGTGGTGCAAAAGAGAACATGAACAAGGTTGAGCAGGACAGGAGACTCATACAGTTCCTAATGGGTTTGAATGAAGTATACACTGTAATTTGAGGAAGCATTTTGATGATGAATCCATTGCCATCTTTTGCCCTTCTAGTGCAAGAGGAAAAACAAAGAGAGTTTCGACTAAGGAACCAGTTGAACTTTGAGTCCAGTGCAATGAACACCAGCATTACAACTCCAAGATCATTTAAGACAAAATTCTCAGTGAACAACAGACCTAGGCCCTTTTGTGACTTCTGCAAGAAACAAGGTCATACCAAGGAGAAGAGCTTCAAGCTTCATGGGTATCCACAACAGTTCAATCGACAAGGAACTCAAAATTATAACTCAAACAACTATAATAAGCATCCTAAGAACAATAGAGGAAGAAACATTACAGCAAATGTTGTGGCTGGTACACAAACCATGACATCAAATACAATTTCAAACCAAGGAGAAGATTTAGAGAACCAAGGAGGTAATAACAACCAAAGTGTAAGCCTTTCAAGGGAGCAATATGATCAAGTGGTTAGACTTCTGCAACACTTTCAGAATGATGGGGCAGAGAACAGCTCAAACGCAAGGCGAGCCAATGCAATAGTGAACTTTGCAGGAAATTTTGCAGGTATTGTGACTTGTACTTCTTCTATAGATTTTGACAAACTGTCGTGCAAATGCTTTCAAGTTAAGGCTGATTTATGGATTTTGGACTCAGGAGCCTCACACCACATGACCTTTAACAAAACACACTTACAGAACATAGTCACTTTACCCTATCCTTTACTTGTGAAATTGCCAAATGGCTACAAAGTCAAGGTCACAGAAATAGGAACTGTGACTCTTACACCCAAAATAGTCCTATACAAAGTTTTGTTTGTCCCAACCTTCAAATACAACCTCATCTCCATTAGCTCTTTGACAGCACACCTCAAATGTTTAGCTTTCTTTTCTAACACATGTTGTTTTCTGCAGGCCCCTTCTCTGAAGAGGCCTCTGGAGATTGGTAAAGTCCATGATGGATTGTACCTTCTCTGCTCAGACTGTCTGAATAAAGGAAATTTTGCAGCAAAGAAGGATGCAGATCTTGCTACTGCAACACCGTGTTTTTCTCATTCCTGTCAAGCTAGTTCATCTGTAAATACTCAATGTCTTTCCTTTACTCCACATCCCAGTTATATTATAAATACTGTGTCTCCACTTTCTACTGTAAATAGTTCTCATTGCAATAAAACATACTGGGATTGCAATTCTGAGTCTTTTTCAAATGATGTGAATGACATGAACATGTTATGGCATTATAGACTTGGTCATGTGCCTTTTGCAAAAATGAAAATGATACCCAACATCCCAGCAGACTTTGCACCAAGACAACCCTTCCTTTGTTCTATATGCCCTATGGCCAGACAAGCTAGACTCCCTTTTCCTCCAAAGACTACAAACACCTCTGCTACATTTGACCTCCTACACATAGATTTGTGGGGACCTTATCATGTACCTACTCATGACAATTTCAAGTATTTTCTCACCATAGTAGATGACTTTAGTAGATCCACTTGGACTCATCTACTCAGTTGCAAAAGTAATGCATTGCACACCCTCAAAAATTTCATATCCATGGTTGAAATACAATTTGCCACCAAAATAAAATGTGTCAGGTCAGACAATGGCTTGGAATTCACTAGTAATGAGGCCACTTCATTCTTTCAATCAAAAGGAATTGAACACCAAAGAACCTGCCCCTATACACCCCAACAAAATGGCATAGTAGAGAGAAAACACAAATACCTGTTGGAAACTGCTAGAGCTTTATTGTTCCAAGCTAGACTTCCATTGAGATACTGGGGAGAGTGTGTACTTACAACAATATTTCTCATCAATCGACTACCTATGTACCCGCGAAAAACAAGTGCCCTTTTGAACTGCTGCATGGAAAGAAACCAAACTACTCACACTTAAAAAGTTTTGGTTGCTTATGTTATCAACCTGTCCCTAAGCCTCACAGAGACAAATTTGAACCAAGAACTTCCCCACATGTCTTTATAGGATATCCTTTTGGTGTAAAGGGGTACAAGGTACTGAACCTAACTACTAAGAAAATCCATGTATCAAGAGATGTGATCTTTCATGAATCCATCTTCCCCTTCTCACTACCACCTGTACCAAACTCTCCTTCTCTCTTGCCTACTCCTGTCACATATCATGATCATCCTACTGACTGTAGTGCTTACCCAGTCCACAATCCTTTGACCTCTCAAATAAGTAACTCTACTGCACCATCACCTAACCACACCACACACATAAATACTCCTGTGTCACCTAGTCACACTGTACATTCACCTCCTACACTTACCACCACATCATCAGACTTAATAACCACCTCTAGGGTTAACCAACCCTCATCTTCTGTTGAGAGACCAATTCAAAGGGTGTCCAGCAGAGTATATAAGACCCCATCTTACTTGTCTGAATATGTCTATAACATGCCCAACCTAAAACAATCTCAGCATGCTGCAACCTCCCAGAACAACCCTTCCTTTTCCCTTAATGCTCTCATTAACCAAAACAACCATATTACTCCTCATGTCCTTAATACTGATAGTCAGCAGGTTGTGAGAAGCATTTGCAATGACAGGGAGCCCTCATCTTATGAGGAAGCAGCAGTCAATCCTGCCTGGCAACATGCCATGATTCAGGAATTTGAAGCACTTCATGCAAATAACACCTGGACTTTAGTCCCCTTGCCTGCTGGGAAACAAGCCATAGGCTGCAAGTGGGTTTTTTAAGGTAAAGCATAAAGCAGATGGGAGTGTGGAAAGATACAAAGCCAGATTAGTTGTGAAAGGCTATACACAAAAGGCTGGTATAGATTACACAGAAACCTTTTCTCCAGTGGTGAAGATGACCACTATTAGAGCTCTAATTGCTACTGCAGCTAAGAAGAACTGGGAGCTATTTCAATTGGATGTGAACAATGCTTTCGTTCATGGAGATTTACATGAAGAGGTATATATGAAGCTACCCCAAGGACTTGCAGTCTCCTCTCCTGATCTAGTTTGTAAATTGAACAAATCTCTCTATGGCCTAAATCAAGCTAGCAGACAATGGTATGCTAAACTTGCTGATGCTCTATATTCCAGGGGCTACACTCACTCCATGCACGATTATTCTCTCTTTTACAAGAGATCATCTGACAGTGTGGTCTTTGTGGGGGTCTATGTAGATGATGTTTTTCTCACTGGCAATGATCTTACTGAAATCCACCTGCTCAAAACATTCCTGCATGACAGATTCAAAATCAAAGATTTAGGCGAATTGTACTACTTCTTGGGACTTAAAGTACTCTACAGAAAAGGTGGAATCTTAATCTCACAAAGGAAGTTTACTCTTGATCTCCTCAAAGACTATGACTGTCTCCATGCTACAAGTTTGTCTTCTCCACTTGATCCTACAATTAAGTTAAAAGCTAAAGAAGGAGTACCTCTATCTGATCCCACTCTCTACAGACAGCTAGTTGGGAAGTTAAACTTCCTCACAAATACTAGATTGGACATAGCCTATGGGGTCCAGCATCTAAGCCAATATATGCAGGACCCTAGAGAACCTCATCTTCAGGCAGCATACCATATGCTCAGATATTTACTCAAGGATCCCACCTTAGGTCTCTTTATGTCCAATGATGATGATTTCTCAGAGAAAGCCTATTGTGATTCTGATTGGGCTGCATGCCCTGACTCTTGGAGGTCTGTATCAGGATACCTTGTCCTTTTGGGTAACAGCCCTATCAGTTGGAAGTCTAAGAAGCAAGAAACCATCTACCTTTCTTCCGTAGAAGCAGAGTACAGATCCATTAGAAAGGTCGTTGGTGAACTTGTCTGGCTCCATCGTGTACTCACAGAATTGACAGTCCCTCCCGCTCTTCCTATTCTTGTATTTTGTGACAGCCAATCTACTCTCCACATTGCTAGGAACCCAATCTTTCATGAACGTACCAAACACATTGAGGTTGATTGCCACTTCGTCAGGACAAAACTCAATGATGGCCTCATCCTGCTTTACCATGTTCGAACTGATGATAACCTGGCTGACATTCTCACCAAATCTCTTACTGGGATCAAGCACTCCACTGTCTTGGGCAAGTTGGCTGTGTGTTCTACACCTCCAACTTGAGGGGGGGTGTTAAGATTATACTGTAAATATAATTAACACTGTACTTCCTTTTCTTTCCAGTAGTTAGTTATAGTTAGTTAGTACTGTTCATTCCGATTGTTAGTTAGAAGGCAGTTGAAGGTCGGCTAGTTGGTTACTTAGTTGATTAGCTGTCATTAGCTAGATTGTTTGTATATATACTCTCAGCTAGTGCATAATGAAACAGATTTCTCTCTTCACTCATCTGAGAATTCCTTCTTCCTCTCAAGCTTCGATCATCTGGAAGCCTGTAGTTGCTTCCGCCATTGTAGGTTGTGAAGCTCATTGAGCTCGTGTATCTTCAAACTTGATAGATGCTACTGAAAATTTTTACAAGTAGCGAAATATCTTAACTATTACTTAATATATATTCACATGACAAATTGGCTTTATAAGCATAGTACCCGCAGAAAACGAATATGAAGAAGAGGTCTCAACATGTTATACTTCCGCTTTCAATCCTAGTCATTCCTAGTTTAGAGTGACCAAGTGGTCCAACATGTTCACATGACAAACTGCGTTTGTACATATCCAATTATACACCACTCTTTTTCTCTTTGGGTACCACAGAAAGGCATATGTTATTAGTAGTATGTAATTAATCTGATTATTGTTCGTCACATCTGCAGTCAGCCTTGCAATATATACAGCACACAATAATAATGAAATAATATCTTTAACCCCTCACAATAACGTGTTAGCTAGCTCATATATATCACGTTCTCCTTGCGTCCATTACTCCATTTCACTACAAAACAGCCAACCCTCCACTTGTCTTAAAGGTTACGAGGCCTCTTCTTGGCCACTATATATATTAGTTCCTTGCCCCACTCCTTTCTCCAATTGTTATATCTTTGTGTTAGTGGCAAGTTGCCAACTCTTTCAGTCCTCGTACTTCCGTCGCTTTTCATAGACTTTTTCAGTATAATTGCTGTGTGGCTACACGGATTTTTAAAGATTTTGTTGGGTTGTGGGGTGTGTTGTGTATGTATAATATAGTCTAAGGATTTCAGTATTGTCTTATCATCGTACTCCTGCCCGATATTTGGATAGTCAGAAACCTTGGTGTCCGTGAACTGAATAAGTAAGAAATGAAATTTCCAGGAGATTGGCCAGAACCTATAGTTCGTGTCCAATCATTATCCGATAGTGGCATCACCACAATTCCCAACAAATATGTCAAACCCCCAACAGATAGGCCATCGTTAAATACTTCTTACAAGAATATTGGTGTTAACATTCCAACTATTGATCTTCAGGGACTCTTTACTGCTGACGGAAACATTAATAATGCCCAAAAATCCTCAATTTATGAACAAATTTCAGAGGCTAGTCGACACTGGGGTTTTTTTCAGGTTGTGAACCATGGTGTTCCCCCTGAGCTTATGGACAAAGCTCGACAAGTGTGGCGAGAATTCTTTCACCAGCCTATGGAAGTTAAACAAATTTATGCAAATACGCCTAAGACTTACGAGGGCTACGGCAGCCGCCTTGGAGTTGAAAAAGATGCAATTCTTGATTGGAGTGATTATTATTATCTTCACTATCTTCCTTCCTCCTTGAAGGACCATCACAAGTGTCCTGCCCTCCCTCTTTCCCTCAGGTACGTATTGCCAATTATACACACTGATATAGTAGGCTATGTTCTTCGTCCAAAAATACTGCCGCGCATTTGTTCAATTTGTTGAATTATCCAAAAATGCACTATTTTTGGAGCATTTGACATGCATCCGACGGTATTTTTTAAAAGTCCGAGCAACATAGATAGCAAGTTAGTTACCATTTTTAACAAATTTCTGGCTACGTGTAATTGGCTTATAAAAGTAAATAATATGATTGTTTAAATATCTTTTACGTTATTAGAGCATAGAACTTAAACTTCAATATTAAACAAATTTCCTCAAAAAATGCAGGGAAGTGGTCGAAGAATATTCAGAACAAGTTGTGAACTTTTGTGGGTGTTTAATGAAGATTTTATCAGCAAATCTTGGGTTAAGAGAAGATGTTTTGCAAAATGCGTTTGGAGGAGAAGATATAGGAGCATGTCTAAGGGTGAATTTTTACCCAAAATGTCCACAACCGGACTTGACCTTAGGCCTTTCCCCACATTCGGATCCAGGTGGCTTGACCATTCTCCTGCCGGACCAGGACGTCGCCGGCCTTCAGGTCCGCCGCAACGGCGATTGGATCACTGTAAAGCCAGCTTCACATGCTTTCATTGTCAATATAGGTGATCAGATTCAGGTGAACACATATTGTCTTAGCTGCTCATCTTTAAATTCTCTGGTTTTTGTCTAGTATAGTTTGAATGTAAATTATCTTCAAATTGTGTTTTAGTACGGCGGAAATCATGATTTCGTATTTTGCTAAATTACTTCACAAAAAGAATTGATGCATACTATTTCGATGAAATTTTTAAGTTTTGAAGATTAATATTTAAGTGTTAGTTGGATCAAACTTATAATATGACGTTACAAATTAATCTAATTGTATTAGCAAATAATGTTTTCTCATTTTTCCCTTTGATAGAAAAATATTGATGAACTACTGGTTCGTCTTGGTGTTCGTTGACTCTATTATACTGTCAAACTTCTCTATATATTTTTTGGCTTCTATAGTAACGTGCTGTTATAGAGAACATATATTATAACATAATGTTAAAATCGATTCCGAAAAAATTTGACTTTTATAGTAAATGGTTGTTCAATAGGGATGTTATTATAGACAATTCTGACTGTACTCTCCCACCAGTGCTATAAAAATGATTAAAGCATTCACCTTCAAGTTACTCCCTATTATAACTTTCTCAAAAAAAAAATCATTTATCTGAAAATGACTTATGTTATACCAATAACACATACATGTTTATTTTTGTTTATTATTAGTAGTAGTTTCTATTTGTAAGTTATCTTTAAAAATAGTGTTTGGCTGCAAATTGACGAAAATAGTCACATGGGAGGGAGAGAAAATAGCCTCCCCACGTAGGGGCGGATACGAGTGCCGGGTTCAATTGAACCCAGTACTTTTGATATGACGCATAAATTTATTTGTAAAAATCTATTAAAATTATAAAAAGTAGTTGATATGAACATGTAAACATTAAATATAAGATGGGTTCAATGCAAAAAATATTAAAGGTTGAACTCATAGAGTTTAAATCCTAGATCTACCTCTATCCCACATCACTTGCTATGTGTAAATACAAAGGTTTAAGAAGCTAAATTTCAATGAATAGGTCTTAATTATAATTCTCAACTGTTTCCAAAGCGCATGTTAAGAAGAAAAACAATAAACATAAACTATGTATTTGCCAAATAAACGTCACAGCTTGTTATTTGACATATGACATTTAACCACGTTCATTTAATTTGGTCTTTCTATCAAAGTGTTGCCCGGTACGTGCATTATTCTCTATATAGAAATGCGTAAGTAATTATAACTTCCCCTATATATAAAACTGAGAATTAGCAAGTTACCACCTTCCGAAGAAAAGGGTTTTAGCACATGCAACACTAAATAAAAATGACCTATATTCTCTAATCATTCTTTTAATGACTTGTTTTCACAATTTTACGCAACTTTAATATTGCAACTTCGCTACGTACATTTTACACTTTTCTGAAAATTCTTGATTCACACATATTGTTTGCGAATATTTCTGAAAACAATTAACAGTATCGACTATCGACATAACGTAGTTGTTACAAAAGTTACAATCCTGTCATTAATACCAATGTTCCAATAAGGCCAAGGTGTAAGAAAACATGTGATATTTAAGTTTTTCTCATTTAGCAAATAAAATGAAATGTACCAATAATAGAATGTTTCTTTACTTACATTTGTTCTTGTAATCTTCATTTCACAAATTCCCATATTGGGCAAACACCGTAGGACCTATTGAATGAATCTTCGTTACATTTCTATCAGATTATTTATGCCTCAAATGACAGAGATATATACTTCATTTTGTTGATTGAATTTTCAAAATATAGACGTAAGACCTGAAAATTACATATGTAGCACATTTTGACGACAAAATTAAGGCAAAATTAATTAAAGTTTTGAAGTCATGACCAATGAATCTGTTTGTTTATAATGTAGGTATTAAGCAATGGTATTTACAAGAGTGTTGAGCATAGAGTGATGGTGAATTCAGCAGAAGAGCGTGTTTCTCTCGCCTTGTTTTACAATCCTAGAAGTGATTTGATGATAGAACCAGCAAAGGAGGTGGTGACGCCGGAGAATCCTCCATTGTATCCGCCAATGACCTTTGATGACTATAGACTCTACATAAGGACTAAAGGACCTCAAGGAAAATCACAGTTACGCCAATCCAACAAATCCCCAACATGACAAATAAAGTTTTTTTTACATTTATATCTAACCTCCGTGTAAAAAGTTATTGGGTTCAGTTGCCACTGTTTGCAAGGCTGGCTTTGATTCATAATTTTGTCACTTCAATTTGAATTGAGGATTGACTGGGTCGCGAGGATTTCGTATATACATGAACGAAACTGCATTCTCCATTTTTTTTTTTGTTGCTTAAAGTTCATTTATTGAAAGCATATTGTTTACCTCGAAAATACGAGTAACAATTAAACTTGATTTGTGGTTTTAAAGATACGTGATTTAGTTCAATACTAATTAATAACCAAGAAATTTGAAGTATAAATGGAAGAAATAAGTAAAACCAAACCAGAATGTAGGCCAGTCTCGACCTCGAGCTAAAGTGACCTCGAGGTAAATCAAGAACAGTAAAGCAAGAACAATAAAGCTATAGGACAATTCTGATGAACAATGAGCGAGAAAGTACGAGAGTATATTCTTTGCCAATGATTGATGATCCTTACAAATGATTGGGGTCCCCTTTATATAATAGGGAAACCCTAAATAAGGTACATTTCTATTTACAGTAAAGAATCTTATTAGGACAGCTGTCTAACCGCCTAGTACGGATTCATGCAAATCAATTTTGGGATTTACGCCACGATCTTGGGGACGTGGCAGGAATCTTTCTCATTCTGTTGCAAGGCCACAACGGCATTATCTCGAAGCCGGCCACGTGCGGTCTCGATATTCATCAGTCACCTTTGTAGGCATCTATATTTTATTGGATTAAATCATAAAATTATTTGGGCTATATTTTAAATTCAAGATATATTGGTCCAAATAAATATTATAGGTTAATATATAAATGAATTAATTATATAAGTCCAACATGTATGGATTAAATAAATAAGTCTTAATCCACTGGGCTAGCCCATTTAATTGGGCTAAAGTGATGAGCCTACTTCATTAAGCCCAAGATGACATCTTCCTAGAGGCCCAGTTTGGTGCCACGTGTCAAGTGACGTGGCGCGCCAAGTCAAACGGAAGAGCCAATAGTATCATGCCACGTGTTGAAATGACAAGGCATGTCAAGTCACACTAAAAGGCCAATGAAATATCGCCACGTGTGCAAGTGACATGTTCTGGCCAATCAAATGCGGCCATGTCACACTTCAATTTGATTGGTCGAAAAGAGTTTGTTCTTATCACAACTCCTCCCTTCCACAACTATAAATAGGGGTCTTCACAACTCAGAAAGGGGACCAGAAGTTATAACAAGAAGCAAGAAAGAGCTCGTGGATCAAACGCTGCAAATTCCTCTACAAGTTTCAAGCTTCAAGTTCAAGCTCATGAAATCAAGTTCAAGCTCAAGAACGAAGAACGAATCAAGGTCAAGTTCAAGCAATCAAGCTCAAGCTCAAGAACAAGATCATCGTTCGTGGAAACAAATATAGATTCAAGATCAAGCTCAAAGGCCCTTGGATTTATTTACTATTGGAAAGAAGAATCAGAGGATTCATAGAGATTGTAACACTCAAATATTCGAAATAAAATACTACGATTGTTGCGATATTTTCGGTCTTGATTTTATTTTCTCGTCCGCAATTTATTGTCTACAAATTCTAGCACGCCCAGTGGGACCAGTTCTCCCTTCATCTCTTCCTTCTGCAAATCGAAACTACAAGCTTCAAAATTTTCTATTGTGATGATCGGGTACTTCAAGTCTCGTCTTCAAGTTTCGCCAAGGCTACACCCCGACAAACCTTGAAGTAGGGGGCATTTGTAGACATCGAAACCTTAATGGATCGAGTTAAATCCTAAGTTCAAGATACTACAAGACCTCTTGAAATTCTAGGAGTCTGTCAGTGTTGCTTAGAGGCTACTCTACCAAAACTCTAGGTCACTCTTATAAAAAGGGTTACATAATCCTTTAAAAAATAATCTCAAAAATGGAGATCATCTCAGAAATCCCATAAACTCACGGGATATTTACAAAGAGATCAAAATATGGCCGGATAATTCTTGATAATCAAATAATTCAATAAGATCCACAACATACTTCATGGATATCAAATAAATCCAAGGAAGTCTTCATCATCCTACGTTCGAGAAACACGCTGCTCCAGCCCTCGAATCACGGAGATAATCAGGAGAGAATAATCAAGGGAGAAACAGAATTGTACCTGCATCATTTTATCAATAAAGCTATATTTCTTCATATTTATATTGTGGATGCAACTTATTTTTGTTTCACAAATAAATTTGTTGCAAACAATTGGCACGCCCAGTGGGACAATCTCTACCTCTCATCTCAACTTTTCAATCACCAAAGTTCAAGAACATTGAAATGGCTTCAAAGAAAATTAACTCCGTTTCAACTTCCACCAAGGCTGCTAACTCCAGGTTCTATGCTGATGTGGAAAGCATCCTCGATGTCACCTTTGGAAGCTTCGGACCAGTTACGAGGAGCAAAGCAAGCTCTTTAGGACAACAAGCACCCCAAGTGCTGTCCGCATCAACCCCTGTTTTCGGATCTTCATCCTCAAAAGGAGCAAGATCTGCCACAAACGCATCTGAAGGAGGAAGCGATGTTGCTGAAAAGATCAAGAAAACTCTTGCTCTGCTTGACCTCTCCGGCTCCAAGCACTCTGCTGTGAAGGAAGATGATGATGCTTCAAGTGATGGATCCTCCCCACTTACACCACATAGCGTGAGCCAATCAAGGATCAATCTGTGTGATAATCCATGCTACTCTCCGTCATCCACGACAATCATGCAAGCCATGGTGACAAACACTTCATCCATGGAGGAGCAGTTTGCAAACTTGACGGAAGCAATCGCTGGCTTGACCAAATGCATGCAAAATCAAGAATCTACCCATGCACCCGGCAAGCTTCCAGAAGTTCTAGAGAGTGAGTCTCCCCCAAGACAAACAGCATCCACTAAGGCTATCCCTGTCTCATCTGAAGGGATGATTCCAATCGATCAACTGAAAGGAGTTCATCGAAGGAACCATTAAGAACAAATATGAAGTTGCCGCCAAATCCTCCCTTACATATGCAAAGCCGTACACTGCAAGGGTTGATATGTTGAAGATGCCTGCTGGCTATCAACCTCCGAAGTTTCAACAGTTTGATGGTAAAGGTAACCCGAAGCAACATGTTGCGCACTTCGTGGAGACGTGCAACAATGCTGGGACTTATGGAGATTACCTCATCAAGCAGTTTGTCCGCTCTCAAAAAGGAAACGCTTTTGACTGGTACACGGACCTCGAGGCTAGATCTATTGACAGTTGGGATCAACTAGAGCAAGAATTCCTCAATCGCTTTTATAGCACAAGACGCACGGTGAGTATGATAGTGATTACAAATACTCGTCAATGAAAGGGGGAACCAGTTATCGACTTTATCAATCATTGGAGGAATGCAAGCCTCAACTGCAAAGACAGGCTTAGTGAAGCTTCAGGCATAGAGATGTGCATCCAAGGCATGCATTGGGGATTGCGCTACATCTTGCAAGGTATCAAGCCTAGCACATTTGAAGAACTTGCAACTCGTGCCCATGACATGGAATTGAGCATGGCCTCCGCTGGAAATGAAAGGCTGCCCATCTATGAACCTCACAAAGCGAATAACAAGCAAGAAGTCAGGAAGTGGGGCAAGTTCGTACCCAAGTCTGAAAGCAAAGAAGCTGTGAATGTCAATACGTCACCTATGAAGTTCACGATGAAGGTGAGCAAGAAGCAGAGTATGAAATCCACTTCTTTTCAAGACAAGCCAAGTGGAAAGTTGACTCTAAAAGAGATGCAGGAGAAAGAGTACCCATTCCTGGATTTTGATGTGCCAGCCATTTTCGAAGAACTCCTCGAGTTAAATCTCATTGAGCTTCCGGAGATGAAGCGACCAAATGAAGCTGGGAAATAAATGACCCAAACTACTGCAAATATCACCGACTTGTAAGCCACCCTCTGGATAAGTGCTTTGTCTTCAAGGACAAAGTCATGGACTTGGCTCGCGAAAAGAAGATCGTGCTGGAAGATGAGAAAGCAAGCGCAAACCAAGTCTCTATCACCTTCGGCTCATTTAGTCCGGATGAATTATGCGGTATTAAAGAAAGTAAAAATGAAGAATTACTGGAGAACAACAAAGTTGAAGACGATCAACCTGAGGATGATGAAGGTTGGACGTTGGTGACTCGTCGTAGGCGCCACAAAAGGAGCCCACGAAAAGAATAAGTAGAACAACCAACAAGGAAGATGATGGTAAAAAGACCAATGAAAAAGAATCCAGTTAAGCGTTTGAAGAAAGCAAAAGTGGAGATGCAACACCCTCAAAAGCCACGACATACAGTTACTTTGGAGGATTTCTTGCCATCTTGGTTCCGCACGATGATTTCCTGTGATCGTATTGAGGCCTCTTGTTTCCATGCTGACAAAGGGGAAGAAAAGAGTGATGACCTATCATTGGCACCATCTTCGGAAAAGCCCATCGAGTCCACTCCTCAAGAAGTTAATGCTTGTGAGGAAAAGGTCACTTTCACAAATGACGATCTTTTGCTAGGTGAAACTCCTCATAACCGCCCATTGTACCTGGTTAGCTATATGCGCGATGAAAGGGTAAATCGGATTTTGGTTGATGGAGGATCCTCAGTGAACATTTTTCCAATCCACATTGTGAAAGAACTTGGTATTCCTATGAACGAACTCTCAGAAAGTCGTGTGATGATCTAAGAATTCAACCAAGGGGGGCAAAGAGCCATAGGCGCGATCAGGCTGGGAATCACTATTGAAGATATGCAATCAAGTTCATGGCTGCATGTGATCGACGCGAAGACTTCATACAATGTTTTGCTTGGGAGGCCTTGGATACATGAGAATAAAGTAGTTCCGTCTACCTACCATCAATATCTTAAAATACTACGAGGGTGAAGTCGAGAAGACGATAGTTGCTGATGATGAGCCATTCACCGAGGCTGAGTCACACTTCGCCGATGCAAAGTTCTACTTGAAGAACCGCGTTGTGAAGGAGCTGAAAGCTGATGATAGCATGAAAAGCAAGAATAAAGAGCCCTCAACTAAAAGAGAAAAGGTGACTACTGGTGAAGCCAAAGCTGTTAGTAAGGAGGTACAACCCAATGTGAATAAATCTTATAGAGGGAATATTACGTCTTATGGCAAGAAAGTAAGTCCGGCGTTCCA